CTTGGTAAGTGTTTTGTGGTGCTCGCAACTGCATAAGGTCATGTGAGCACGCTGGACACTTACACGTTTTCAGTTTGGTAGGAATTTTAAATTTTGCCCTTGTGGCCGTCGAAGCCCACTCTTATTGATTTTAGGACCACCAAGGAATCTTTAACGTGTGCAACTTGCACACGGGACCTCTGGTATTTTTTTTTTCGCCCTTGTCCGAGAAGGCTAGTCTAAGTGTTAGAATTTACCTACCATTAGATTAGGGGAGTGGCTGAAAGACTGCAGTAAGAAGGAGCCAAAAAGTAGCAGTTTAAAAAGGCTGCAGAAGGAGTCAAGAGACCGGAGAAGATGGTAAAAGGGGGATGGGGAGAAAGTGGAAACGAAAGTAGACGACAGTACTTGGTTAGAGAGCAGGAAAGGAGGTGCCAGAAAAAAAAAAAGTTTTTAGAAAAGAAAATGTTCGTCCAAGGATTTGTAGGTGGATGGTGTTTGTTGTAGCTACTGTATATCATTATATTCAAAGTCAAATAAGGGCCTCTGACGCCATCCCTTCAACTTTTTGTGGTGTTCCCTTGTAGCTTGAGTCTCTTTCGTTGTATGCTTGGGCATCAGGTTGATTTGGGGGCATTCTTATTTGGTGACCAAATCAGTAAATTCTTTAATGAATGTACACACACATACACACACACACACACACACACACACACACACACACACACACACACACACACACACACACACACACACACGCGCGCGCGTATGGCTCAATCGCCCGGTCTAAGATTCAAATTTATGACAAAGAAAAATGTTTCACCGCCGTATTTTAACTTATTTAAGCCACTAGATTCTAATTAGTTTAGGCATCACATCTACGATATCGGCTTCGTGCATCATCGCGTTTTACCGCCAGAGCATCATATCTGTTGTATCCTAAGATGTCCGAAACCTCCCCACTCTGCAGGAGGCATCGGACAGACGTAAGGGAAACTTCGGACGAAGAGAGCTGAATTCGGACCGTGTGTTTCATTTATTACATGTATTATTTTTTAGAAGCAAGCTTCGATGCAGGGAGAAGAAAAGGGGGAGAGAGAGAGAGAGAGAGAGAGAGAGAGACAACAGGGCGCGAGAGAATGAGCTGTATCTGGACGTGCTGTTATCCATCAAAGCGGCGGGACGGATCAAAAGAAACGCACGCCCGCACGTACACACAGACAGGCATGCACACACGGAGACACAAACAAACAAACACGCAAGAAAAAACACACACACACACACACACACGCAGTAGTACTACATATAAACATTAGCACACAAGAAAACACACACACACACACACACACACACACA